CTCTTAGGGATATGGAGGGACAGATATCCATTGAGCATCTATAAATGCTTTGTATACATCTTTATCTTCACTTCCACTACGGCCACATAAGGTGGATGGCATAATCCTCATTTTACAGACAAGGACATTGAAGATGAGAGAAGTTAAATAACTCCCTCAAAATCATTCTCTCCGCTGTGTCAAACAGTGCCTGGTGCAGAGTATGCACTCAGATGAATAGTTTTAAGGGTTGAATGAATCTTTCAGGGAAGCAATTTTCAATATGCAATCAAGAGCCTCTAAAATATGTATTGTCCTTTGAATCAGCAGTTTCATTTCTAGGAATTATCAGATGTGAGCAAAGATTGTGTGTACGTGTCAATGCAGGAAATAACTGCAGCCTCATTTTAAAAACTAAAACCTTTGAAAACACAACCCAATATATAAAAGGGAAATAACTGAATAGATTACAATAGTATTATGCAACCATTCTAAACAGTATTTTCAAAGAACTTTTCAGGACATGGGAAGGTACCCACAATAGGGCATAGAAATAAATATATACAGTATGACCTCACCCATTCTTTTAGAAAAGCATATACAGAAAAATTACTAGAATAAAATGTACCATAAATGTAAATTGTGGTTATCTCTAAGTAAATGAATATTACATGATATTATTGCCTTTTTATAGTAATGTGTATTCTGAATTTTCTACAATAAGTTTTTTTGACTTACAGTAATAACAGGATGTTTTAATTTATACTAGAATTTTAAGAAACACATTAGGTCTTTATTCTATATGGTTAATGCAGGCTGTGTCATTAATCTCAGTACAAGAAAATTCCCACGAGAGCCAGCATAGCACAGTAAGTAAGAGAACTGGCTCTGGAGCTGGGCTCCTGGATTCAAACCTGGCTCAGCTATTCAATTACTGTGTGATCCTTGGCACACTGTGAACCCTTTCTCTGTACATTAGTGCTCCCATCTGTAAAAATGGGATTATGGATGCCTATCACATAGGTGGTTGCTAGGAGCAAACTTTAGTTAAGTGCCTAGAACACAGAAGGTGTTCTAAGGCAACTGTTATTTTTGCATTGGATTTATTCAACTCTTTGACTTCTGTTATTTTTAGACCTTACAGTGAATTGTTTAAGGCTTATAGCAACAAATTTTTTTTATAAACTCCCCTTTTACTTTTACTATAGCAAAAGCATTCCCCTTTTTGCATTTTGTTGTCAATTTAATTTTCGAAGTCCTGGCACAATCTTTTGATGAGATAGTTAACTTCATTAGGCACAGACTAAACCTTTAGCTGTTTGGCATATTTAGAATGTCAGGACCTAGTTAGATCATGTAACAGCATCAGTTAGGTGTCCAACCCTCTGGTAAGTCATGAAAGAAGCATAAGAGGGAGGATACGTACTTCCTGCCTCCAAGGCAACATTTCCCGTGTGCTATGGGTTGGGAATAAAGAAGTGAGCCAAGCACAGTCTCTTCCCCCAAGGAACCCACACTACAAATCCAGGAAAATAAATGCACCATTTGAAGTAGATACAAGAGTATGCATGTGTCTAGGGCAGCCAGGGTGGAGGGTGGACTGGACATGGCAAGTCTTCCTAGGAAAGGGGTCTGGAATGGGAAGGCTGAGACGGGAAGCATTTCAAGAGGTTACAGGCAGAGGGAGAAGCAAGTATGGAGGCATAAAGGTAAAAGAAACATGACACATTTGTGAGAATTTAGGTAACTGGGCAAAGCGTGGGATTAGAGAATGCTGGCTAGGAGGGGAAAGGGACGGGGTTCTGAGAGAGACAGAGGGCAGAAGTCTCAATTTTATCTTGGAAGCAGTGGGGAGGTGGTAACAGATCAACCTCTTAAAAGGTTTACTACTCAAGTGTGGAGGATGGGCCAGTGAAGTGTGGAGACAGACAAAATGTTGCTGTAATTCTGAGAGCGAGAGGAACTGGATCAACAGACAGCAAAGATGGTAAAGAGGGTGGAGGGTAGAAGCTGGATAGGCATGAGCTCTGGTTCTGGGGGGTAAAAGTGAGGGAAGAGTCTGGACTGGACCCAGATCGCTGAATTAAGGGGCTGGGCAGATAGTGGGCCATTCACTGAGCAGAAGACCCCAGAGGAAAAACAAATGTGAAGAGAAAGCTAATGGAGACAGGTTTAGACATATGAAGTCGAGATGACTGGGTCACTCACATGGGTTTGACCAGGAAGAAAACATAGATCTGGAGCTCAGCAGCACAACCTGAGGAAAGATAAAACTTTGGACCTTAAAACCATGAGCTGAGTAAAACTGTCCCAGGGAGAGTCTGCTGAATGAGAAAGAGAATGTGCAGAGCGCTGGAATTACAGCACCAGCAAGAGGATCTCAGAGAGAAGAAAGCAAGCAGGCAGGAGACCCATGTCAAGAGGAGAAAGACTCAAGATTTAGGAAAGGTCAGCAGAGTGAAACGGTGCCCTCAGAGAATTTATGATCCAGCTGGGAAGCCATGGCATGTGCGGCGCAGAGATGAGGCAGAGGAATCGCCCGTGGCTGTCACTAGGCGTCCAAGAAAGATACAGACAGTTCTTACCGAGTTGAGAGGAAGGAGAAAACAGAATTGACCTGAAGTTTGATAAAGGTGATTGGACTTGACTGTGCCTGAAATATGGGGAGAATTGAAAACAGAAGTCCTTTCAACTGAGGCAATGAGATTTGTTCACATTCATGCTCATGCCTGAAAATGACTGAAGGTGGTTCTCTGTCGATAGTGCTCAGCAGTATCATTTTTGAATAGTGGAGACAGCATTTGGTTCTCTTTTAGTTGTAATGATTGTTGTTTAAACCATATCATATAAAGCTGGATACAGTGTTCCCTAACATGTCAATACAACATTAACTTTAAAGAAGTCATGTCAGCTATATGGCTGACACATAGCTGGTTCACTCCAGAAACACAAATATGTCTAATTTGGAGGACATCATGAGGGTCAATTCCATTGCAAAAAGAAGAGAAGTCCTGGTTCTTAATTCTATGACAGCAATTGTAAAATTTCTTTGGTTAAAGACAGCTATTCCTGGCTGCAAAGTCACAGATTCCCTGCCCCATCTTTTCCCCAGCCTCTGGTGGCTCAGCCATGGACACGTTGAAGGAAATGGAATGGGAAATTTCCTTGTGCCCTCCCTGCCCCTGCACCTTCCAGCCCTTCCCCGTGTCTCCATCCCACCCGGTCAGCCTCGTCCTTCCTGAGAGCACCTGACGGCAGTGCAGCATGGGCAATAACTCTTCATTCACCAAGAGCATCACCCTGAGTACAGAAACAGCCAGGTGTTACCTTGGAAAATAAGCTTTCAAACCCCATCTATGCTCGTCTGCTCACAATTCTGACATAGCAAATGCCTCCCACGACCAACACTGTCTGCAAAGAAGAAAGTAAAGAATAAGGAAAAGTCATTGGAAACCAGTTTCCAGTGCTGCCATGTCACTTCCCTGGTGATACAATATTGGGCAAGCCACTTAACCTCACCTAGTCTCTGTCTTCTCAGTAGCACTTTTGGGCAGCCAAATGAGATATTTGTGAAGGTGCTTTATGATTTCAAAATGTAATTCAGATGTTAGGCAGTAGTGATAGGCTATCATCATAGTCATGAGTATGGTGTGAAAGCAAGGAGGGACCAGGATTTCTCCTGCTGTCTTTGTCCTGAAGACCCAGACCTTCTATTCAGCCAGGTCTCTCCAGAGCCTCCTCTCCTCTGGTACCTATTAATCTGGGCTGATTTACCTTGGCTCACATAGTACTTGATGCAACTGAGTTATGCTAAATTAATCCCATTCTCCTCCCCTTAGTACATGGTGAAAGCTCTTGAAATCTACCTCTACAGAAGAAAAATGCGTAACAATTTACAAAATGTTTCCTCTGGGCCAGGTACTTTCTTTGTCTGAGATCCTTTTCTACAAACCAGAGATGGTTCCTACAGAGAAAAAATTAGCAAGCCTTTGCAGCTGAGACCAGTAGAAGTTACATTTCTATTAAAAGCTGTCTGTAGTTAGATATATCTATCCCAAGTACAGTTAAATGATGTAATAAACATATTAAAAGACATAAAACTGTTACATTAAAATGCCATTAAATATCTTTCACTCAATGTAACAAAATGCAGCAATAAATTTCCTTTGGTTATAACTTTGAAAGTTGCTAGTTCTCAGTGGGTTATGCATCTGCCAGTTCTTCACTGTTGAATTCTGTTTTCCAGGCCTGGCAAATGGGTTGTCAGGGATATAACCCTTTGAAATGTGATGGATTTCAGCTTTCTCACGTCATCACTGCTGAATCTGGGAGTCCTAAGTTTCTTCAAGGGCCGGTTTCTGTCGCTGTTCTCTGCCTGCTGGCTAAGTGCAGTGCTGAGGCCCCACATTTCATACACTAGAAATGAGAGGTGAGGTGGCCCAACCAACCAAGCCATGGATTGGATCCAACGCTGGGAGCCAGTCCATCTCCTCTGAGTTTTGAGGTCGATGGCTTACATATAGGGGTAGAGGGAACAGTAGAAAGGAATACAAAGCATTGTATCTGGGAAAATCTTGTGCCCCTGGTTCTCCGGTGGTTACATACCCAAACCGCAGTCAAGAGGAAAGGCACAGAAGATCGAGATACTCTCATTAAGCTGCCCAAACCTATGAGCTTGTCAGGATTCCCTTTTACCTTTGTTAAGCCAAGTCTGAAATCCAGATGGACCGTGTCCTTTGGGCCTCCCCAAACCGAGTGCTGCTGGAATGGACATGGGTGCTGTGCAGCGATGGAGGTGTGAGACGGGCCTTGAGCATTTGCCCAAGTCCTGCAGTCAGTGGGTTTTCTTTCTACAAGGGCATCAGTTGGACCAAATCAGAAGAAACATTGACTCATTTCCTAGACGCTCAAGACCTTTCTACAGTGAGCCACCTCACTCGGGCACGGTGCTCGCACCCGGCAGGGGTCTGTGCCTGTAAAGCGGCTGGGCAGCTTCTGATGCTCTTGCTGTGCTTCCTCAGGAAACAGCATCCTCCATTCAGCGGCCGACAGCGTGACCAGCGCCGTCCAGAAAGCGAGCCAGGCCTTGAATGAGCGCGGGGAGCGGTTAGGCCGGGCGGAGGAGAAGACGGAGGACATGAAAAACAGCGCCCAGCAGTTTGCGGAAACTGCACACAAGGTGGGTCCTGCCAAAGGGCAGAGGTCTTGGCTCTGGGTTGTCAGGGAAATTCAGTGCCAAGGACTTTATTTCAGTGTGTTTCCCATGACTAGAAATACAAAATAAAAGAAATTGGCCCTTTTATACAATTTCTATCTGCTACTTAGTAAGTACCAGAGCCGTTAAAGATCTCTTCCTGTACCTGTTTCTCCTTCCTGGTGTCTTTATTCCTGTCTCTGTCCTTGCATCTTTGGGCAGTGGGGACCATCTTTAGTTTCTGCTCAGAAGTTTAGGGCTCAAGTTTCAGGGAACAGGATGGAAGGGGGTGGGGGGAGGGTCAGGGCTAAGAATATCCCTCCTCTCTGGGCCAGTGCTTGAAAGAGGGCTTTGAGCCGCTCATGCTTGCTTTTCCTTGCCCTCCCTTCCCAGTCATGAGCCCAGCATCCTGAGTTCTTATCTGTCCACCATATGAAAAGCAAACTCTGGTCCCTCAGAGCTCCTCTCGCCTCCTCGACAGGCCTCGGGCCTCCGAGGCTGCACTGACTCTGGGAGCTGCCTGCTCATCTCCCACCTGCCTCCAGACAGGCAGAGAGGAGTGTGTCCAGGTGACCGTGGGTGAACACAGCACACCCACTCGCTCAGAAGGCGCATTTTGGGGCGGCAAGGGGGAATTTTTATTGTCAGCCAGCTACTAGAGGCAGTCACACAGCAAAGGAAAGAGAGGCCCTGTTGGTCAGGTGATAAAGAGGATTTATTACTGTTCCTATGCTTCAGATCAAAGGGCAGTTCTTTTCTGGCTGGTGATTCAAATTTAGGTTTCCAGAAACAATTTCTGCTGATAACTGTTGGCACCTCAGGCTCATGATCTGGCCCTTCAGATATGCTTTTCAGGTGACCTTTGGGGGAAAAAATTAGTTTGTTTTAACAGAAAAGCCCACTTCCTCTGAGGAAACAAGAATGGACAACCTGAAAAGTAACTAGAAAAACCTCCCCAGCTGAGCCAAGCTGGCCCCTCCAGAGGCTCACGCTGGCCCAGCAGTGGATCCCAATCCAAGCGGATGCTTCCTGCCTTCCCTTCCCGCATCCCCGCTGCAGACCTGTCTCGCTGTGTCATCAGTTCTCTGTTGGACAGGGTCTTGCTGCGCTTGCTGCCTAGGGGCCGGTCAGGGCTCTCTGGAGGAGAACTGGCCAGATCTGGCAGGCAACCCGACTGGTGGCCAGCACCCCGCTGGCTATGGTCCTTGTAGAGGGAGCGAGCTCAGATTTAAGGTTCCCCTCATCCCTTCATCCCTCCTCCAGCTTTCATGATACAGAAATAATGATGAGATGGAAATGCTAGAATTACCACCCCCGACCCCAGCTTCATTTATAACAACAACATGAGTGATTCAAATGAGTGATGGGCAGTGGACGTCTGGAGAAACACTTAAAGTGTTGACTGAGGGGAAGAGAAGGCTAAGGAATAATTTTTCAATTGTCTTCCATCTGGGCAGGCGGGTAATTCAGGCAATTCTCCTTCATGTCTGAGCCACACAGGATAGAGCATTCAACAGCACACTGATAACATTCTGCTAAAACAAGAGGTTATGTTAATGACTAAACCATGAACCAGGTTACCAAGGAAGTCTGTGTAATAGCTCTTCCTAAGGTGAAGTAGACAAAACCCGGGGGTCGTCCATTAGGCGTGCCCCTCAGGGGAGGCTGTGCAAACACTGAGTTGGATAACCTAACCAGATGGCCCTGGTTGCCCGTTTCCCTGAAACTGCAGCCGAGTTTGCTGGGTAGTTGGGAAGGCAGGGTGGTGTGGTACTTAACATCTGGTGTTTAATTTACCATCTCAGTGACCTTAGGCAAGTGCTTAATTTCTCTAAGCCACCATTTCCTCATCAAGCAAATCGGGCTAACTAATAACAGTACCTAATTCCTAGGGTGTTGAGAAAATTGAATAAATTCACACCTACAAATAAATCATCATAGTGCCTGGTACATATAAATCTAAATTAATATTATAATCATTTCCATAAAAACAGTTCTGCTGAGCCTGCCCTGTTCAGTTCCATAATGAGCACTGGGCAGGGTAGAGAACAGTGATTGAGGATCCCAACCCAGGGGTAGGAGGGACTGGAGGTGGAGATTTTGTGTCCTCCAAAGTCGGGTGCGAGGGCCTCCTGCTAAATGCTGATACTTTCCAGACATGGAGCAGCCCTAGAAACAGGAGCTCATTTAGGCCTCCAGCAAAGGGCCATGGCTTTGACCACTGGGAAGGTTGGTGCCAGCCAGGTACATATTTTCAGCAGAAATGGACAAGGTGGGGGCAGTCTGCCCTTATTTTGGTTTCCCCTTGGTAGGTGTTCTAAGGGGGAAGGGGCAGGGCTGCTAGTGTCTGTTGGTGAGTCTGAGGGAGTGTGAGAGAGACCGTGTCAAAGGCAGACACAGTTTTCTAAAACTGGGATGTGCCTTATGAATCACCAGCATTGGCAGTATTCCTAACGAAGAGACCAACCTCCTTAGATAAGGTGTGGCTGCTTTCCCGAGGACTAGGACTCCTCATCTGAACCCACTGAAGAGGGCTGGCCATGAAGATGCCCTTTCTCTGGCCAAGCCCCTGCCAGGCCTGCTGGTAAGCAGAGTTCAGGGCTAGAACCCAGGCCTTCCACACCACCACAACCCCTCCCCAAACATGGCTGTGTTGGTTCACGGAGAGTGGACTGTGTTTACAAGTCAAGGCACGGTGCATATACTTGCACGCTGAGCAGAGAATTCCAGGCAACAGTTCTTCCACACTCTCTGGCTGACTGAAGGCATGCAACCCCAGCCTGAGGGTATGGCACACCTTTCTAGAATGCAGGAAAAAGGATTCCAGGCTTTCTAACTTTTCCCAGATTCTTGAAATGACCCAGGTACATGAGTAAGTGGGTCACCTTTGTGCGACCCTGCCATCAAGCTCTGTGGGTGCAAATGGAGCTTTGCTCCTGTGAAGCAGATGGAAACTGCTCTTACACCCCATTCCCCCCAGCTCCAGTCAGCCTGGCTTGAGGAAATGTGGTTCCTTCCTGAACTGTGGGCTTGGCACAGTTTCAGTTCTGAGGAAAGTGCAACTCAGCCACAGAACAGATCTGTTCACTTTCCCCTACCCCGAAAAGCACCCTACAGCTGTGTGCACAGCACTTTGATGCCCAGCCCAGGCCGCAAGCCAGTGGGACAGACAGGCACTGACACCGAGGCATCTTCAGGTGACATTTATCGCAGAAAGGGACAGTGGCCTGCCTTTTCGCACAAGCTCCTGTTTGTGGGGGAGGGAGTGGTAAGTGGCATTTCCCTCACTAGCAGGGAATGACTGCCTCTGTCCCTACTACAGTCATCTGCTTCCTCTGGGTCTCTGGGCCAGTCCAGGCCTCTTGAAGAATTCCCCTGGTATGAGTCATGATGTATTAGTATCGTTGTTATTTAGATGGAGTGGTCTACACAGCTTCGAAAGAGAAAGCTTTCCATGAGATATTAAAAAAATAAAACATATGAAAAGGAGACATTAAACTCCTCTTCTATATAGGAGCTCTGACATCTCAGTTGATCCATAGCATTTGCGTTGAGATGGTATTTATAGATGTGAGGACACTGAGGCATAGAGCAGTTGTGACTTTAGCACTTCGGGTCACATGGCAGGTCTGTAGCAGGGAAGTAAAAGCGCCCTGCCTTCCATGTTCTACAGCTCCCAGCTCCCGGGGAATTTTGAAAACTAGGTAGTGTGGAAATGAGAAAATGATGCCACTTTCTACAAAAATATCCCAAATAGCAAAATGTCCGATCTAGCTGCATTTCTGCAAAGCTCAGCTGGCTGCGGCCCCACCTGGCTGGGGCTCCCGCAGCACTGTTCCAGACTCACCGTCACAGCGACCAGGCCCCCAGTGAGGCCATCACCGCTGAAGATTAATGACTGTGGGCGAACTGACTCAAGACCATTAGCTGGCGGTTAACAGTTCAGTGAGTAACAGGACAACAGCACTGATTAAATATTTACAGTTGGTATTCATTATGCACAACACTTACCAGCTCTGTGTCGATTTGAATGGTCTGCATTGCCAAATAATGTATGAAAGCTAGAGAAAGAGCAAGAAGTGGAGGCCACACAACCGAGGGGTTCAGTGTAGCTGGGGACTGGGACAGATCTGAGAGAGAGCCCTGGCTCTGCCATTTCCACTCACCAGGTTTTCCTGGACTATAAATTCTTCAAGGTCAGGAGTTATTAGCCACCTCCACCCTTCTTGGCAAAGCCCCCAATACGTAGCACAGCGGCCTGGGCACACTAAGGGATCACGGACATTGTCGTGCTCTCTCCATCACATGCCGACCCCACCCGGGTTTACTGCTTTGGCAGCTGGCCTGGCTGACATGGCAGCACAAGGGTTATAACTTATTTGTTGAAGACATCAAGAAGGGGGAATGGAGTGTCAGACTGCCCTGGGTTATGCTGGAGAAACAGATCATTGGTGTCTTCCAGGAGGATGCACAGCACTGCTGTGTAGAATCAGAGCATGGCCCCTTGCTAATTCTTCAAGGGCCAAGAACCCAGTCATAATGCAGATGACAGAGCTTTCTACAAGTTACTGCCTGGAGAGAATCACCTGCTGTTTGCTCAGAGACATTCTAAATTGCAGAACCCAGCCCCAAACCCCCAGTCTCAATCCTAGGGATTAATCCCTAATATCAGATTCTGGACACAAGAGGAATTACAATGCAGTCTCAGCTGTGCCTCCCGGTTCACATCATTGTATGGGCCCCTTTGGAAAGGATCTGGCTAAGAAACACAAAGTCAGATTTAATTTTATTTCCTATAACTGCTTAGATTTCCTTAAATATATCATCATAGGCTCTGGCAGGCTTGGGGGAGGCTAGTAAATGATACAGTGGTATTGGGTGTTCCCAAGAATAAGGATCTAACATTTCTATAAACCACATTTCTCAAATAGCAGTGGGAGGGGTAGCAAATCAAGGAGTGGATCCTGATCCTGTCTGTGGTTCAGCTGGAGTCAGAACCAATTTAACCATCCAGTGCTTTGGATTTGGTCAGTGCCCAGGCTGGACATTGAGTGGCTTAGTGCAGTTGTTTCTCTACAGTTGATGATTTTTAATACTTGATGAGATGTCAGTAAATACTTACATTTGAGGAGTGTTGGTTTTCCTGGATAACTGGGAACCTGGGAGCCCAGAGACCTCCCACCTGTTCTAGGGTAGGTGCCTTGCTCTGCCTGCGCCCTGGCTTTTCCACCAACTACTTCAGCCGCATGAAGGACACCCCATAGCCCTGACTCCCTCAAATGCATACGCCAGCACAGCTCCTGTAAGGACAGGAAGCAAAGGCCATGCTCACTGGGCTCTGGGAAAATGTACGTTTGCTGGGTGCTGCTGGATGGTATGGTGATTTGCCGCAGCAAGAATCTTGGGCTGCTTCTGTTCATGGATCTGGGGAGGGAGCAGCAGAGTGAATGTTCCGCACTGCTAACAATGCCCCGCTTATGTCATCCCTCTCTTTCCCTAGCTGGCCATGAAGCACAAGTGCTGAGAGAACTGCCTGTCCTGGTGACCCTCTGAAGAGAAATGGAAGAGTTTGTTGAGCAGGTTTTACAAGAATTCAGGACCACCGCTTGCTTCTCTTTTTCCAACATGTGGACATTTCAGTTTTTTGTTTTTCCTTTTCAAATGTTAATATGAAAGAAAAAATGTTGTGTTTGTACCTTTCGTTAATGATCTTGCTAAGAAATGCTGCAATAGCCTCAGCTGCATCTTTGTTCTGTTTTTTTCTGCTGTGTGTGTATGTGTGTATATTTTCCTGTTTTTTATGGTTTTTTTTGTTGTTTGTTGGTTTGTTTGAATATGAAATTTGGACCAGATGATATACTGAGCTGGGTCTAAACTGGCAACATGTGTTTTTTTTCCAGAGTTGAAGTAGGAAGACATTTTAATGTGTTAACATCAGATTGTTCCTAGATGGAAATTAAAGTCCAGCAGTGATTGATTTCTCTCAGTCTCGTAGCTACTGTTAATTTGAAGGTTCAGATTCTATATCCTGAGATATAAGTTTGTATTATGGGAAACAATTAGATTTATCAGGGCAAACAGTAGTCTCCAATTTGCTTTTTATGTAGTCATGCATGAGCCATCACCAGCATTCAAAAAAAAACAAATCAGAATTACAGACAGAAATCTCTTCTCTGAACTGCAGTTTAAGTACTTCTGCTACTTGTTTCCAGACTGATTATTTGGAATTATCATATACAGGATAGAAAATTGAGATTAAAGACCTAAGGAAAAGCCTATTTTAAGAAACCTCTGTGCATTCATGGACATTTTTATCTTGCCATTGTCCCAAACGAGGGCAGCTGATACTGAAAAGAGCTTGAATCTTTATCAAGAATTGATTTGTCCAGATAAAAGTCTGTGAAAATGATAATGTGAAAAGATACTACATTTAAACTGTTCCTTCTTTTATTTTCACAAAGTCTTGCCTGTTTTAGAAATGCTCTCACAATTGGCCTTGGGAAATGGCCTTTAGTTTCTTGTCTGGGAGGTTTGCTTCTGAGAGGGTTAAAATGCTAAACAAAAAAGCCGTGCTTTGTCTTCAGTGAGCAGGGAGGCAGCTGCCCCGTCACAGACACATTCTCAGCCTCCCGCTGCAATGCACTGACTTGTAAGCCGCCTGAATCTTCAGGACCCCTTTCTGTTCCTACCCATTGAGCCAACTGAGTCCACGTGTATTGTAGCCTCTTACATAGCAGCATAAGATGACTTTGGGATTTTTATGCTGATTTAAATACCTTAAGTTCTCCTGATAAACGTATTCCTAGGGAGACAGAAATCTGGGCTACTGGGGGGTAAAACATTATCTCAGGCAGTACATGTCAAAAGGGAGATGGAATTTGCCAGAGACAAATTTCTAAATCCTCTTAGGGAGATGATACAGTCCAAGAAAAAACTCTCTGTAAAATTTATATGGTAAAATATCTTAAGTTTACTATATGTTACATTTTGTATCTTTCTTTTGGTATTAAAAAGCTTAAAGAAGCAGGAAAATTACCTGGTAAGTACCATTAGGAGCATTTATAATTTCTAAGAGAAGCCCAAAATATCACTCCACATAGGTTTTCTTTGTAGACCAGAAAACACAGATACACACAGAGATTTTCATCTTCCCAAACTGGATTCTAATTTAAGAGATAGATAGTTGGCATAAATAATTAAAAGTGTAAATCTAAAACTCCCTGACAATTGGCCAAACTCAAAAATAAAATTTGTCGCCAACTATGTACCAGTGCTTGGGGAGCTCCATCTACAGTGGTGAAGGATAAGGTCATAAGCATACTGTGAAATTTGAGGTTCTTCCTCTCTGGAAGAATTGTGATAGTACTCTGCATAAGTATTCCACATGTTACCCTCTTCTCTCACTCTCTGTTTATCCTTTTAGACTAAAGTCTTTTTTGGCAATAGCTTGGATTAGAAGAAAGCCTATCTTAATTGTTAATAGCTTCCTCTATTGATTTGCTTCCAGACTGGCCATGCCCTTTGACTTCACTGTGTGCAAGTCCCACCCAGGCTTCTGCCACACAAGGAGGCCAGAACAGCAATCTCTGTCCCTCCTCGACATCCTGACCTCTTGCAGAGGAGCCTTGTGATGACATGCGCGCATGAAGTTCTTTGCTATCCTTTTGTAGAAGGTGCTGCAATACAATATATGAATACAAAACATGAAATATGAATACAGTCTAACCTAGAGAAAATTGCCTAAATGACTCAGCCTATTTGGGACCAATTTATTTGGTTGAGCTTGCTAGAAGACACTGGATTTCTGCCCATTTTCCTTCTGCACTTCACAATGAGTTTTTGGGATACTGTATTCCTGTGAAGGACTTCTTAAATAGTATCGACAACCCATTAAAAAAAAGAAACTTCCCAGTGTTATCACTTGTTCATGGAATGTAGCTGTAGTATCCTTCACTAGTATTATTAGATATCTGTGTACGGGAAGTATACAGTTATTCAGGTTTATGTTCATATTAAAGAATGTATTTGTAAAATGTAACAGGATCTGTAGTTAACACTTTTTAAGCTCTGAAAAAATTAAGATTATGTGTTAGACTTAAAATTACAGTGAAATCTCTCTTAATACTACTTTGGTGGCTAACAAAGGTTGTGCGTTTATGTAAAATATTTACCAAATGCCCTAAATAAGGGATATTAAAGATAGGTTTCACTTTTGATTTTTAGAATTGTAACACTGCTGATGTCTATTGTACAGTTATCAATTCTTGAGAAGTTCTCTAAGGTGTCAAATATGATTTTTGTTTCCTTCAGAGACAAGTAACACCTGCTCTATGATTCACTAGTACAGCAAACTCTAATTTTGTCATTAAATACTTTAACTCTGTGTTGAAAGTTTGTTTCTCTCAGTTATTTGTGAAATCTGTAAAACACTACCAAGCAGCAGGCAGCATCACACTCTTGATACTCCTGGGAAGATCTTGTGTGCTACATGACACCTAAGAAACAGGATCAGCATTACGATAAAGTTTCCTTTCATATCTTCTGATGGAAAAACTTGACACATGAAAAAAGAATAAAAGAGCTAAGTTTTACTGAGACAATGAATGAGCTTCTCTCCAGCAAATTAAGTTATCTCTTTTCTTCTCATGGGCAAAGCAATGATGCCAATTAAATGTGACCTTTCTGTGATATTAGTGATGTGCTCAACTCCAGTACTTCGTACAGCACATGCCCTCGTTTGGCAGACTAGTTTCATGCCCTATTAAATGGGAAGAAGACTTGTTTAAATTATGTCAGTCTGTGTTTATGGAAAAGCAAATGCAACTTACTTCATTGCCCCATTTGTTTCTCAGAGAAGTGACAGGTGACGACTGTGGCAGAGCAGCCCTCTCTGGGTTGGCATTGACACTTGGTAAAGCAGGCAGGACTATAAAATATTTCCTGGGAGGGCTGCAGGCTAAAGGTCTCCACTTCACAGTCTCCACTTTTCAGAGAAGAAAGGATAGAGGGTTTGGCTAGATGAGGACCCAGCCTTAAGCTAATGCATTTAAAATTTCCCGAGAACAAATTATAAACCCATTGCTTTGCAAAGATGACCATTTTTCTTAATATAACTCTTATTTATGAAACTTACCATAATATAACTTATTTAGCGATTATTCCACAACCAACTCTCAAATCTTATGGGAGGATCAATACGGTGTTTTAAAATAAATTTAAAAATTGGTGCCTTCACCTTGCTGTCAACAAGAACATGCTCAAGAAAAACTCTTGACATCATAATCATCACCTGCGTCAACAAGCAGACTGAGGGCAGCAGTAGAGAGAAGGGGGAGACAAACACTAGAAATAAATTTCAAACAGAAATACACACATTTCAGTCTTATTTCCTGTTGGTACCCATTCTGCGTGCCTCTTCCCCAGGCATGGGTGAGCCTGGGAGGTAGCCTGACACACACTGGCGCATTCACATAGGCATGAGCACAGCTGGCATGAAGAGGGGTGCACTGTGCTCCTAGATGCCCCAGGAGTCACTGTGTGGCACCTTCTTGCCCTTCTGCACACGGCTTGGTAGATGACAGTATTTCCAAGGGTCAGTGCCTCAGGCGGACCACTGTCCAAACAGAAGAGATGTGAAGACTTAAGAGGCATGGAAAAAGAGCACATCCCATCCACAAGGCAAGCCTCCATTTTTTCTGTAGATGTAAATGCACTACCAGTCCTTTTTTAACAAAATGGGGCAAAAGATGGACCTTCTTTTGGTTTGGTTTTTGAAAATCCAGAATGAAATATAAAATGATTTTGGATAGCCAGAGCCAGCCCAATGCAAATGGATCTTCATTTATACCTCACTCCCAATCCTTTGGGCAGTCTCCTCTCCACTCCATGCTCTCACCTTGCTTAAATCCTGCTGTAACTGACCCTTCATAAGGTGTGACTGACACATCAAATGCTGGTTTATAGCAGCTTCGGGCAGTTTGTGCAGGCTGTGTCACCATCACTTGGGGAGCTTTTAGAATGCACACATTTTACTCTGAAATCTGCCTTCCTGGTGTCCCTGCGCATCTTGTCTTTTGCAAAGAAAAAGGGAAGGACTCCAGCAGTCCCAGGATGGTGGGGGACCTGGCTTCCCCAGATACTTAATTATGTTTAAACTTACAAATCAGAGCTGTCAAGGAAATTAAATATAACATGTATTTAAGCTCAACTACTGCTATCGTGTAACCTCCTGCCTTGACCCTCATTTTATCTTCTCCCTTGAGCTTCATCTGAAGCCTCAGGATTTCCTGAGTCGTGTTTTCACTTCCCACCCCTCCTCCCACCCTCAAAGTTTTCTGCCACGTTTCTTCTTCCTGCTCACGAGTCACAGTCCCATGCACCTCAGGTCTTCAGAGGGTCTGCCTCAGTGGCCCAGCCCCCTGGGTGCTGTTGGGCGTAGACTGTGAGGGCAGGTTGCCCTGTTTCCACAGGGCCCAGGGGACATTCCTAACAGACTGAGTGGGCTGCTGAGGTGTATTGTCACTGCTCTTACATTTTGTCCATTAGACATTTTAAATGCTGAGGATTCAGAGGGAGTGAAGATTTTTTAATAGAACACACATTTTTTTCCTGTCTTTGTGTGTTGAACCAGTCCAAGGACGGCTGTTTAAATGGAACCTGGCCCCATCACACATCCATACTTCACTGTGTCAGGGACTGGACAGGAATCGCCAGTCCTGCAAGTCCCAGGTGTCACTTGTCAACTTTAGATATAAGCCTTTGTCCTAAGACATTGTATCCTAATTGCTTTGCCACTCTGATTATTGTCAGATGACATAGCAAGAAGAAAAATGAGCCCATGAATTCTCAGCTTTGCCCTGAGATTTAAAGCATGGCTTGGATGATTCACAATTCCTAAAGAAAGTTCCTGTTATATGCTCTGACCATGTGCTCTGAATGCTCTGTGTAATTAAAATGCCACATCCTTCATGATTGAAGCCTGAAGCTTTCTGTTAGTTCTCCTTAACCCAATCCTTTCTTTTACTGTCTCAGTAAGGAAAATCTGGTTCCTACTATTGAACATGCTTTTTTATTCACAGTACAGTAACTTCCTTTGGAAATTTGGCCTTTTTTAGACCTGGAATTACAGTGACCCATAGTAGCAGACACATTTACCTTGGTCTGAAACTTTCCAATATCGGAGGAGCCTCAGCATTTGAACAGAAAGAAACTGTGGGAAAAAAAGAGTGTTTGAACTGTGCCCCACTCTACAACCCAGGGAGGAAAAATAACAGAACACAAAGCACTGGCTTGACCATGAGCAGGGCACCCCCTTCTGGTGGCTTACTGGAGGTGGCATTGCATTACACCTAAGGAGCGTGGTCCCAGGAAGGCCTGCCCTGCTTCAAACTCCAGCTCCAGTCCTACAAAGTGGGTGGCCTCTCCGTGCCTGTCTTCTTAGCTTTAAATGGGAGGGTTTGCCTGCTTCACAGGTTATGTAAGTATTGGATGAAATAATGTACTCCTTTAGCCCCGTGCCTGGTACATAAGGGCTCCCCATGTGTCAGTCTGGGGCCGGCTCCTTCTCTATGATGGACCCAAAATAAAGTAGTAAACCTTACATGTTTGCGATGCTTGCCAGACTGCACTGCTGCTAAAGAAACAGATGTATTTTCCTTAAATCTATGTTGCCACAGGGTACACAGGCAGACGTATCTGTGCCTCTGTGGCCATTTCAATGATCTATGGGCATAGAACCCTTGACATTTCATATATCCAAGCTCTGGAATAAAGGAGAGGATCCTGGCCTGAAGGGGCCCAGTGGTGGCCATTTCCTAGAGGAAATTTCCAAAAAGACTAAATGCATATGCAGAGGAGTGAGAGAAACTGGCCTTAGTGTCTGTGTCGTCAACTATGGAACTGGAAATGAATGGTTTTATGACCCAGGAGATGATTTGATGTGTCCTTTGGGCAGTAATTCATGCTCTTTCCTAAAAAGGAAGCCGCACGTCGGTACACAAATGTACCCCTGTGATTCCAAGGATGCTGCTCCACAGAAAGAGGCTGTCCCTGGATCAATTCACTGAGAGTAACTTAAAGAGAATCGTTTACTCCATGAGTTAAACCTGGGCCTAGAGGGGAAATAGCCCTTAGAAGAAACAGGAAGTAAACAGTACCTCACTAAAGTGTAAACTGGTGATAGAACGTCTTTTCTGGAAGAATCTTTTGCATTCTGGTGAAAGAAGGAAAGAAGGCCCCAGGAAACCTGGTGTTGGCACACTGTTTCCCCGTAGCTGTCACAGTGTTGTTAATTATGATGTCCAAGTAACCCCAACATTACTTGGGAAATAGGTCATTTGTAAATGAGAGTCCAGGCAAGATCTGGCTCATGATAACAGTAGATCTGCCCAACCAAAATCCCAACTCTGCTCTAAAAACTGCACTGTAAATTAGTGTTTAACAAATTGCAAGCCATGTTAAAAAGATTTTTTAAGTAAATTAGCTGGAATCCTTCCTAGCAGAGAGATTCCTGGCTTTGTGATTAGCTTTCTGTCCTCAGGCAAATTACATAATTTTTCTGTATCTAGTTATTCATGTTTCAAAGGGAAATCACCTACACCCCGCCTCCTGGAGTCCTGGTGAGTGAAGTGAGCTGTGGAATGTCAGAGTCTGGGAAATACAAAGTGCTAAAAGGTAATAGTGCTCAGGAAACCTGGGGCTTCGGTCCCCCCCTACCCCACAACACCTAAGGGCTTCCTCTACCAACCACCGCCTTTGCCCTGCAGGTCTGACCCTGTAGTACTACACTGTGTCATCACTGTCCTCCCCTCACCCCAAGTGTACCACTTACCAACATGGAAAGTGGAACAAAGGCAGTAGAGACAGTCCCAAATTCCTCAGGGCAGAGGATGCTGAGCTTAGCAGCCATCCCTGAGGGAAAAGGTTCAGAGCGTTCTGGGGGGCTGAGGGAGAGCCCTGTGCTAGACAGGTCTGCCTGACAGCAGCTCAGACCCCGGGGACCCCTGGGAACTTGAGAGCTCCAACACTGTGATGGGGAAAATGGTCTCCAGCCACAAGGGAAGACTCACTGAACGCCAACAAAACACAATTTCAGAGATAGTCTGGAGGTCAGACATGCTCTCCGCACGTACCAAGGCTGGACAGAGGCCATTCCAGGCAGCACTGTGTCGGGTTGTCCTAATGTGAGACTGACAGGGACAGGGCCCCAGGACTGGCCAAAGTCTCAGGCATTTCACTCACTGGTAAAAGTGAAAGGATGCTCATTAGCCAGTGTCTGCAGAGAATGGCTGCAGGTCAGATCCCAGGATATCTGACAGCTGATACCAAAGGGCGTTCCTTCAGACACAGGAAAGACTCAACACTCAGCTCCAAGCAGCAGGAGCAGCAGTCCT